GTCACACAATACATGCACCTGAGCCTTCTTTTTTACCCATCTAGAAAATAATTTATATTTGTACGGTATTACACGCAGCCAATCACCACAAGGGTTCAAAATGAATGCCCTCTACTGCAGCAGCTAACACACATACTGTACAGTCTGTGTCGTGGTGACATTGAGCATGGCAGACATAAGCGAATTTGAATACTTTCAAAATATATTTGTGTCAAAGTCATTTGTTTGGGGAGGGATGATGATGGCATTTGCTGCTAGTGATAAGTGCTGTTGTTTATACTGTGGACAGAAGAGGCCAAATGAGGAAGAGTCGGGTATATAAGTGTAGAGTTTAGTGCTACTAATAAAAAAGCAATTTGTGCCAAGGGAGTGTCTTTTTTGACACCTTTTAATTGTTTTGGTTTTAAATCGTATCAGTTTGTGCCAGAGACATAAAATGTAATGATAATCAAGTACTGTCAAATATTTCCACCTTCCAGCTGGCAACTCAGTATTTACAAGTTGTTTGATTATCTAAAAATGATTGTTGGGGTCATATAAGGGTTTATTTGACCGTATTTAACTATAATATACAATGACTATGAGATTAGGAAATGCTTTGAAGGGCTTCGCTTAACAATTATACGGGGAGCACTACCACTGTACTTGGCAGAAACGTTGGTGTTTGTCAGTATGTTGCTTAATGCTTTGACAAGCTGTGTATTAGGACACACAGTCAATAGGGCACGCAGGTTTATGTTAGCAGGCATAGTAACTTCAAAGCTCGTAAGAAAAATATTACTAGTGTTCCATGCAACCCTCAGTGCTCAGCTACAAGCATTCAAGTGAGAAAAGCTGGTGAGACTGATTCACTCAGAGACATCCTGTGTGGCAGAGCAGCAAGATCATCACAACAACCCACACCTTGAGTATTCAGAAACAGAGAGAAACTCTGGTGTCAGCAAATGTCTCCCGCCTCCATAAAGACCCCACAAGAAAATGCCCCCGAGTAAATGTCTGACTTTTACCGTGAAGATTCCACATAATGAAAAGTATGGAGCCCAGTTCAATTTTGCTTAAATATGTCTTAGGGATCTGAGAGCTAGCAGATCTAATATGGAAGTCACTGTCGGGATTTGACGGAGCCATAGTGTAATGCCTTTGGGCTAAACATAGGGAACTGAAAAGCTGGGGCCATGGCTGTGTGCTCTGCTGCCCAAAACCACTATAACTACTCTGCTATTTTCATATTGGAAAGTTGATTGATGGAAGAACAGCTGAGTTGGATCAGAGGAAATGAGCTTTAACCCTACTGCTCCTGACTGAATTCAGCAAATGCAGTTTAAAAGTAATGTATGCCCTGTCATGTAAAAAAAACATTTCAACTTACATGGTACAAAATAAGTAGCACTATTTCTGCCTCAGTAATATCAAAATGTATATGTTTTTGCCTATTGAGAATATATAATGTGCTTTCTAATAATGCGAGACTGAGAACACAACTTGTGAAAAAAATGCTGCAGAGAAAACCCGCAGGATTTATCTCGCCCTAAATGAGAAAATAAGAGAGGAGTAATTTTCTCTAAGTTGGCATCTCACTTCATGTTAGAGGATTAAGAAATTAATGAAAAGTGGCTTGTCAATCTGACACTTCTAAATTAAGAAGAAAGTATCCAAATGACAAAATTAAAATGGGAAGAATGAAGTAGAGGATAAATAATTGGCGGGGTAAATTCTGACAGATAGAGAAGTGGAAAACATGGCAGCTGAGGAGAAGAGAGTGGAAACAGAGTAAGCAGCCGATGCTCCAGGCAATGCCATCTGTGGGTAGATCTGCAAAGGCTGCATGCCACACACCTGTGTGAAAGTGCCTGGAGATAAGGCCCTCAGCACAATGGCCCCATGGCCACCTGCGCTGCCAAACAGGTGCACAGCCCAGCCAATTAAACTATTAGACAAACACAGGCCTCTGGGAGCAAATTAGCAAGCTGCCCAAACATCAGAGGAAAAACAAAAAGCAATGGTAAGCAGTAACTGAGCGTGAACAACACTTTGATGGGGAGACTTTCATTTCATTGTATCGAATTAAGATCATGGTTTCTGATGTTTTTTATGTAATCAATTATCAAATCATTGTTGAAAATGTCTCCATTGTCTTAACACAGACCAGCTTTATAAATAGAATGAAGATAAATATGCTCACCATGTATTAATGGGTCAAGGCTATATTTAGCTCAAATGTATCCAAATGACAATTAATTAAAAAATGTCTGCATGATGTGAGCCATAAGAAAAATACTATTTGTGTCTGATCAATGGCCCACTCGTGACAAAGCAGTGTTTTAACTAATTACAATGATACATTTCACTTGAAGTGAAGACAAAGTAATTAAAATATAAATTCAATAATGTCCTCCTTTGCCTTAGCTCTCATGCAGTACTTCTTCATTGGTGGAATATCTGGGTCGAAAAATGTATTTATTAATATATTTATTTATCAAAAACAGTTTAGGACCATTAATCGATTTTACTGAGAATAACTGTCTGTTTCGTACTGATTCCAGTGCTTAAATGGGTAAAAATACAGACTTGGTTTCGCTGACCTTTTAACCTTGGACAAACCGATAGTTTCTTAGCCAAACACCAGCGTTGCTTTTGGAATTTAAGTTTGTTCTCTGTAATGAGAAATCCTGCGTAATGCTATAGGAAACACCAGAAAGACACAAATGAATGGTAGGATATAATGCACAAACTCCCAGTATATCTTATGTACAGGCTTATTACTAGTCAGCTTTTAACGATGAATTGCTCATTAACTCGGGTCAAATACAAAAATTAAGTCTCCAAAATAGAATTATTCAAAAGCTGACCAGGGGTTAATTTGTAATAGTTGTAAATTAAAATATGCATGAATGCACTGCACTGCTATCTACTTCATGGTTATTTTCTGTTTATGATAACATGGCGGACAAAGGTTACATTAACATAGTGGAGTCAGTAAACCAAATGTGGATTTCCTGTGTGTTGTGATCCATGACAATTAAGTGCATTCATATTCATTATGAGTAACCTTATCCATGCTTCAAGAAAACAATCAGTCCTTTCACCCAGGAGAGAAATAATGAAGGGTGAAAAGATGAGCAGAACACCTGTGTTAGTCTACATTCACACTATTCTTCGTCGCCGCACACACCCATAAGGTGGCTTCTTCCCTGCATGGACCTGACCATCCGTAGGAGGCGACACGTCCATGAAGCACTGGTCCTTTACATGCTGGCCAGAGGATCAGCCATTTGAAAACACACACAGTGCGAGCCTGGCCTCACTTACATCCCCTCGGCACCAGTTGGCCTTTCTGAGTGCAGAGGCTGACTTGACTCCCCACAGCTCGCTGGAGACCGGCTTCACAGCTCTGCGATCACTCCAGGGATAATCACTTTAGCTAGTAAACTATACAACATATTACTATTTTTTCTGTTTGTATTGTGTTGCACTGTTGACTATGACTAATAAAAGCCTTGAAACTTGAAAATATGCATGTATACTAAGCATGGTGTGGTTCACTAGCTATAACATTGTTATCTGACTGAATACATTTGAATATTTTGTAATTAAACATTACATGTGCATCCTGTTGGTCCTTAGTTTGCTCAGGAAGAAGAGCATTGAAAAAGGTCAGCTTTACCCTCATATGAATGGGTGTCTTGAGTGGTTTGTATGAAACTCTATAACTCTATATATAATGCAGAGATGCAGCAGTAATGCTGGTATGAGCAAACAGATTAAATAAAAGCTCTTCTGGGGGCATGCTGGCGAGTCTATTTCTGTACCCAAGGTGAACATAAAAAAGAATTCCACTCAACCAGTGACTGTTTAATATGCACCATTCATTGATTCACATTAGGAAACATCTCCTCAACAGTGAGATGGTAAATAATTTAAAGGATCTGCTGTCACTAAGGGTTCTGCAGCACTAGTGCGACCAAATGAAAATTGGAGATCCCATTTAAAGAGAGAAGTCAGAGAATTTTGTTAGAAATTAGAGACGAGGTTTATAAAACCATTGAAATCTGGTAATGAAAGATTTGAGAGCCAATCAAGGCTGAGCAGGACAGATCCGAATACAAAAATAATTTAAAAAATCATGTTGGAGTACAGGTTTGGTTCCTAACAACTGGCCATTTTCCTTCTCCATGACTGTACGCTTTGTTTCAAAACTTGATGTTCTGTATTTGTCTTTTCTAACTAACAGTCCAATGAGAGGCCTTCACATACATCCAATTATTATTTAATCATTTCCAGCGGACACCTCCCTTGCTTAATGTCGAGTGACGTGATTAACATTTGGATGAGTATTGCTTGAAAAATACATAGTATGATGATGCAATTTCAAGAGTAAAAAATAAGGTGTATATTCATCCTAAAGACATCCCAGGTGCGTATACCTTAAGTTACCAAGGTACACCTACACAGTATTGCAATTCATCCTACTTTCATGAAGGTTACAAAGTTCAATATGTATCGAATGTTTTTTTAGAGAAGTGTTCATTCCACTGATAAAGTCGTGGTTGCTGATATACAAATACTGCTCAACAGAAACAAATATAAATAGCATTAGTAATTACTTTGCTTACAGCTTGTCCTTGCACTTAGCCACTTACTCTGAGCTGCGTCACTGTGCTTCACTCTACCAAACACACAACAAATGATCATTCTGTGCGTCAGGGTTATCATTTGGTCTTCTGTGATTGTGGCGTATCACCTAAGTGCGTGTCAGCATCGTTGGTGTCTGCCAGAAGCCGCCATTAAAGTTCTCTCCCTCCAGTTTTAAGCCATATTCCTATTGTACACTTTCTTAGATATTGATGGAACCGGATGAAAGATTTTAGTCATCAGACTTCTCGATCAAAGACACAAGGTGAGAAACCACAGCCTTTAGTCCGTAGCCCATGAAAAAATCACTCCCAACATTCCCAGGCAAAGGCTAGTTTTGCAGTGTGTGAAATTGTTGAGTTACTAACCTGACAGGGTTACTTGTGAGAGACACTCTGAGCGACTCCAGGCAGTTGAGCAGCTTTTCTTCTGTGATGCCAGAGCGCAGCTCGTGGACATATTCTTGGGAGGAAAGTGTACTCTCATGTCTGCTGTTCCTAAGTCCACCCTGAAAACCAAATATCAAAAGTTTAGATTACAAACATACACTATATTACCTCGGTAGGTCGATCTAATACAAAAATGATAATCAAATACAAACGTGTACACAAAGGACATCCATGCATGATTTGATGTCAACCACATAGTCAACAACAACATGAAGAGGACTTAATGTTGGTGAGGGTCTGGTGTTCTCAGGAGGGTTAGTTGGTGAGACGTGTTTTGACGTCTTTTTGGATTCTCACAATGCTAATGATAAAAGCTGGCAAAAATGTCTGCGTTTTGGTAAAAGGACAAGTGAGCATTTAGTGATGTTTTGGCCAACTTCTCAATCAGCCAATATTGCAATGATGGACTATTCGCAGAGAGAGCCAAGCACAGCGGCAGCTCCTGCTTGAAATAAATGGATTGTTGTGTATAGTCTCCACAGAAGCCTCTAGGGACATGTTGCTACACTGATGCTTACACACTGAGACTACCTATTGGCAGCAATACACACACTTACACCCCAGCAGGGAAACATACATTTACAAACTCACTCACCCAGCACACACTGAAGACAACACCGTGAATTACATTTAGCTGCAGCTTGATTCCAAAGCAGCAGAATGATTGACTATATGGCCTGACTTTGTTTTCATGCAGGAAAACACATGACAAAAACCTTTCCAGGCAAATGTATGAATTCAACTTAATTATCTCTACTCCGACACATATGTGTTAAATTGGTATTTTTTTAGTTTGTGTCAAAATGAGCTACATTTTGGATGGGGGCTTTGTATAGGGACCCGTACAAAACTAAATGAGGAAATTCTCTCTGCAAAACAACATCACAAGTTATGCCGAACCAGACAAAATCATTTTCACTGTGATCATCCCTGGACTGCTGGTTCCCCACAAAGTGAGCTGTGCTAATAGGCAGTTTGGGAAGTAATAAGCTAGCTCATTTATCTGGAGAAAGGAGAGGCCTGCTGCTCTCCTGCAATGCACAGTCAACATGAAAGAACTATATTTTTCGGTTGAAAAAAGCAGAGGAAGTCTACAGCGAAATGCCAATAACTATGTGTTGTAGGTTTTAACTGATCTTAGAGTTTGATTGGTTCAAAAATGTCAAGTAGTGTTGTCTTAAAGGCTGACGTAAAATCATCAATCTGCTATCTTCTAAGTCTTGTTTATTATTGACAGTGAAAATGAAAAAGCAAACAGCCGACCGTATTGTCTTAATGAGAGGGGCTTTTTGTAAGGCACATCAAACTGAAATAAAACAGAGAAACAAAGCTCTATTTTGTTCTACTTAAAAGTCACTGCTCTTCTTGGTGTGCACAGATGAACCAATATTGCAGTTTTCTATTGTTATTAGTGGCATGGTTTTTATACATTGTTTCTGTTCTGCTATTGTGATACTAACACTACCAAAAAAGTTAGACTGTATGCTTTCACACAATTGTTTTGCTTAATAGCTAAATGTCGCAATTAATCAATGTTGTGTGATTCTTGTCTTTTCTCTACCCTTCTCATCTTGATCTATACGTACACTTATGCCATTCAGCTTTTTCTCAAGCACTGTTGGGTGAATGTCGAGGAGTGTCTGTCTAAGCTTTTAGAAGGCTGAAGTAGTTATTAGACCATAGGGAGAGGTAAGAATCCTTCTCATTACATCTATATTTTCCAACTATTACTACCGGGCCCTTTCGTGCAAAATTCTGACCAACACCATTTTCACATGTTTTTACAATGGACCATGGAAATAATGAAAATTGTAAAGACCAAATGTAGACTTTGTGAAGGCTCAATAGGCTGAGCAGAGAGAGAGACAGACACTGAAAGACACATAGCAAACCTCAGGGTGAACTCTCTGGGCTTATGAGTTCTCAAGGTTCAACTAAGACGGTGATGCAAAACTTTATAGTGCTTCTAATTCCTGAGAGGAACTGCTTTTTTTCAGAAACGGACTATTGACAGTGCACAAAAGACCTGGCAAGGCAGAGCTTTCAAAAAGTTTTGCTGATGTCTGAGCACTTCCCTGGGAGGAATGCTCGCCAAATTCAGTTTCTTGGTGGCAGTAGTGTTGCTTATTCCAGTATTCAGGGTGAAGGTAGACTGCTCCACCTTACGGTTAGTTACTTAGTTCAGTGGTGGGTTTCATTCAAGTCTGAAGACCAATGACCTGACATTTAGCAGAGGCTTGACTTGGTTGGAGAGCTTAATAAAATGTTCTCAGCAGCTTTGTCTGCGGTTGTGGGTAAAGTGCTGGACTTTGAATCAGGGGGTAGCAAGTTTGAGTCCCACTGCAGTCAGCATGTCGTTGTGTCCCTAAGAAACTGTGGGGATTGTCCACAGTACTGAATGTATGTAAGTCGCTGTGTATAAAAGCGTCTAGCAAATGACATGACATGTAATGTAATGTAATGCCAAGGACAGCTTGCAACATTGAGCATGTAGACACCAGTAATTGGTTAACTATAAATGCATGCACTTTAGGCAGGGTAATAGGGCCTCAATAACATCTATTTGAACACAAACAGCAAGAGAACAAACAGTAAAAGAATAATTGCAAATCACTGCAACTCTATATTTGTATATGGCTGATAAGGTGGCTGCATTTTCAGTTTGTCACTTCCTCAATAACACAGAGCATAGTGAGAGGAAAACACATTGCCCACTTTGTATTTATCTTCTTACTTCCAAGCAGTTCCCAGCAGGCATTGCACTATGTCCAGAAAAGCTATGGCTCTGGTTTCACCGCATGCTCTGACCTCTGGAAACAGAAGACACTGACCATAAACTGCTTTTTCATGAGCATAGCCCAAATCAATGGAATCCTTTTGGGATAATATCAACATTACACCACCACACTGGCAGTAGAGAAACAATCTGAGGATTAGAGGGAGGTGGGCATTACCTTCTGGCTACTGTGTAATAGAGTTTCCCCCCTTCAGGCTCACAAAAATGGTCAACAGAAGAAAATTGTCGGAAAAGAGGCCCCAGAGAAAAGCACCAAGGGAAGATGGAGGGATGAGGGAAAGAGATGTTGTGAGGGGAGGTGTGTGATGAAGCAGTTAGACATAAAAAAGTGAGAGAAGCAGAGGTAGTTTGAGGGAGAAAGTAGGGTTTGGACACAAAAAGAAAGAGAAAGAGTATGGAGGAGGAAGAGCAGGGTGGAGAGATAGAGCACCAAGAGACAACCTCAACAGTAGAGGACAGACACAGCCATTTGACCACGGCCTAGAGCCTCATCTCCTGCCGCTTATTGAATCCCCTATTTGTCGATAACAGTATTTCCTGCCAAAGAAAATAGTGCTGGGAGCAATTACTTCAGCAAGCCTGTCAATTTCATTTTGGGGGGTTAGGGGAGCATTGAGGCTCATTCCCTCCTCCTCTATCACCTCTGTCTGCCTTTCTCTATGCCATGGGGAGTGACAGAGTGCTGTGCTTTCTATCGAGGGCAGGGCAGGGAGACAATGCCAAGGCGGCTGCACCTCCACATGTCATCTTCACCTGTAATGAGCCTATAACAAGCTGGCAGCTTCCTCAGTGCCCAGTTCTCGGTACACTCGGGCCGACTGATAGATACATTATTCAGCTTCTTTGTCAGCTTACTGGAAAAACCACATGGCGGCAATGTGTCTGGCCTGGAAGCCGTAGCTGGGAGATAGTTGATTGCTTCTTTCGTTCAGTCTGCCCTGCTACCTCTCTCTGTCTCTCAGACATATGCATACTGTATTTGCAATTTTCTGAACAATGTTTAGACAACATCTCTTGTCGGCATGAGGAAGAAATGCAATTATAAAGTGAAGCAAGAACAGGAGAACATATCTTGTGTCTCTGTAATTCATCTCAGTTTGAGATGAACATGGTATAATGATTTCTTTAGATGCCTTGTATAAAAGTCATTAAAAGCTTTGTGTCTGAATGTATTTGGTTTCTTTAAAGCAAAATCAACAAACAAACCCTGACCCCACTGTACTAATTCAATGTTGTGACTCATTGCAGCACTAAATGCTATTTAAACAAGGGCACGGATGTTGCAGCATGTTTATTCTGAAGCCTTATTTTAAGGAGAAGCAGAAATGTATTAACAAAGACTGTAGAAAGAAACAACTCTGTCTGGTTATTTGAACTTGAGAGTCTGAATAAAACTGTTTTGTAAATAATGTGTTTGAGTGAGAGAGGGTTTGCTTTAACTCATTCAACCTTTCCTGAAATTCAATGCGACTAAGGACAAATGAAGGTTACCAACGACACTTTGAAGGTTGGACCAGCAGAAATAACTGCATAAGAGGAAAGAGTGATCGGCAAGAACACATTTTTGGGTGCGTTAGGCAAAGATTGGGCATTGAAGGGCAGTTTTAGGAAACCCAAGTGCATTCAAATGTTTCACATAATATCCACAACCCTGTTCTTGAGAGGTAATATAACCAGACATATTGAGACACACGCCCCCGGCTCCCATCTCACATTTTTAAAATGCCTGACAAAAAAGAATGAAATAAATAATGAAGAATCTAATTATTCTTTCTTTGTGTGTAATTAATGAAAATTACTAAAGCACCCTACTGCTCTTTGTAAAAAAATATATATATAGATACAATCTGAGCAATTAGTGCATATCATGCTGTATGATAGCCACGTTACAACTTAATATCCTGCTCATTAGTGGTTGGTAGATTAGTTGAGAGGAGAGATACTGCAAGAATTACTAAAAGACAGCCAGGTAGATCCAACTGCCACACGTCTTACCCTTTCCCCTATGATACAAACATGACCTATGAACAGCGCTGTCAACACAAAGAGAAATAGGGTTTGCACACAAAGCCACACACAGACCCACACGTAAGATATGTTATAAAAATGAGAAATCTTACATTTAACACAATCTAAAAGTTGCCATGTGTTGGTGGCAGTGGTGGTTAAGGTCAAAAGCAACACGGATCAGTTGAGATGCTGGTTGGCTGGACAATGAGTTTTCCCTAGCCCTACTTAAAGGACAGAGTCCTGCTGCAGGCT